CAGACACTTAGGAGTTGAAGTGGCCACTCCATTTCCTGTCATTACCCTGCAAGCCGAGGATCCTCATTAATATAGAGCCTTCTGTCATGTCTTTTTATTAACTTTCAATGATTAAATGAACTGAAGCATTATGAGTCCCAATCACGGGCTAAGGATCAGAGGCTTGATCTTTATAGCAAAAATTTGACATCATTAAAAAAATCCATATGCATCAAGCCCACCACCACTTCCCTTTTCCATTAATTTTATGGACACTTCCTTTAACTCTAAAACAAAACACAATACAATGCATAATTCAAAATATGGATGCAACACCTATTCCAAAAATAAATATGGAAAATTATTTCATATTAACACAGTACATTATTGTTACAGACATTTCTTAGACTATAGATTCAAAGTATAGGCTAACTGAGTACAATTACTCATAGACTTTAAGTCTAAGTGCTAAGGATCCAGAGAAAGTCTAAACAGGGTCCTCTATGCACAGAGGTACTTTGCTAATTGCCAGCTGATGTTGGCAGGTATATGAATTCTTTCAAATGTGGTTATATAACCAACTGAAGTCAATATTTTTGGAACCTGCATGGGGATTATGTGGAGCAGATTGGAGCCGTAAGCCGGTTCCTACACTCGCCTGATGTCTATTCACATGTAGAGTCAGTGGGAGTTTACGGTCAGCATAGAGAGAGAGAGGGAGGGGATCTATAGCTGCGTGGATCTGGCATTGGTCTCCTAATGAGTACCCAGATGCTAGTTCTTGGACACTGAGGTGGCCTCTCTGCTTTAATTGCATTAGCCAAGCTGTCCACCCAAATGTCATTTATTTGTACACTGGACACTTTCCAGCTGAGATGCTTGTTTGTAACTGCTGGCTGTTGCTTGCTTCCAACATATTGCACTGGTGCTGTGCCAGTGAAATACCGTATTAAGTGATCTGATTATGAATCAGATATTAAGAGAATGAAAGCTCACAAAGCTAAACAAACAACTAGTTGTGGGCGCTTGCTAGGGTATTGCTGTCCATTTGCTCGAATGTGCTTGGTGTGATTCTGAGTGGTTGTAAGATGATTGTATTCTGGCATATGTTAAAAGAACACACTCCCAAGTCATTAAATGGATTTATTAATTACACTGTGAAAAAACAAACAAACTAACTAACTAACAAACAAATAAATAAATAAAATTATTTAAAAAAAAAACACTGCTGTGGTTGCCAGAACTTTACCGTAAAAGATATGATAGCAGCATTTTAGGTTTTACCGATTTAACTTAAATTTACAGTAAAAAGCTGTCTTAACTGATATAATGTTAATATACCAACTTATTGAAGTACTAATATCTGTTTTGTAACTTTGTAATGCACTGACAACTGATAAGACAAAACTAAGAAGAAATAGAGAATTCTGGGAATGTCAATTGATGGGTTTTCACTGTAAATTATACAATGACTAGTTTAGAAAAACTAAATTTAACAGTGTTTTACTGTAAAACTACATTGAATGTAAGGTTAGATTTTTTTTTACAGTTAACGGAAACTTACTGTTAACAAATCACATTTTTTTTTCCTGTAGAATTTTTACAGTCTTTTACCGTTAAAATCATGATAATTTTTTTTACAGTGTAGTTTAATAACTAGTGAGAAAATGTATGTAATGTTGTAGCAGCAGTGATGCAATACAGGTAGGGCTGTCGCTAACGATTATTTTGGTAATTGAGTAATCAGACGATTATTCTCACGAGTAATCTGATAATTATATATATATTTTTTTTGTGGTAAATAGACCTAAGCAAACAATAGCTTTTAAAATTACTTAAAAAATACATATATATAATAGCAATGTGGCAATATTAATTCGTTCAAATAAAGTATCAAAAGCAAGTAATAATATGGTTTTATTGAACAAAACTGGTAAAATTAATCTATTATTAACAATAGAGCTTATGTACATTACGCATTATAACAAATGACTGCAGAGAGCACCAATGGCCTAACGATTGTTTTTACACTTTGCAGCACAATCTAATCCTTGTTTAATATTGACTAAACAACATTAAATTCAAATGTACACTTAATGCTACAGCCACTGTAACTTGAATATGTGGACATCAAAATGTGTAAGTTCAGAGCGAGGGTTTACATTTTTATTTTGAAATCACAGTTAGAGAGTAATGGCTTATTTAAAGAGCTTGTGTTTTGGTACAGTGCATGTTGTAATGTATATTCTACAGAGGATCAGATCAGTGGTTTAGTGTCTAGGGTCTGTAGGGAAGGAAAATGGAAGTAATTAAGGAGGTACGGTTGCCCAGGTGTACCAGCCAATGGTGACACTGCTCTAAGGTAGGGTTAAGTAGGACAGGCCATGCCACTCATAGAAATACTTAACTACAGTGACATCCTGTTTAGAATTCACAGATTGAATATAGAATTATATAGTTTGAAAATAAAAATGTATGGCACCACAAGGAGTAAGATCTTAAAACACTTTTTTTGTACGAAAGAAACCCTTTAGTGCTTTAACAAAAATGTGAGCTGATATTTGAAAGCTATTTTGTTGTACATTTAAAAGCACACATTAGCTGCATCACAAATGATGCTCTATAGACTATGCATATATATATACTTTGTACTTCTGCACTATGTAGTCAACTCAAAATTCAAACTCAAGTGTATGAATTATATAAGGTTATTTTGGCATTCATAATCAGAGTCTGATAGCTCCTCCCCCTTCACTACGTAGTTAAAGCTGCGAATGATTTTTGACAGAAATTAATACTTTTATTCAGCAAGGATGTGTTAAATTGATCAAAAGTGACAATAAAGACTTTTACATTAAGACAAAAAAAATAGAATAAATTCTGTTCTTTGAACTTTCTATACATCAAAGAATCATGAAAAAAATCATAGTTAATATGAATACATAAATACATGAAAATATGAAGTAACCAGTGGCGAAGCCAGGATGTTTTCATAGGGGTAGCCAGGGAGGGGCCAACAACCAGTCTGGGGTGTCACAGAAATCTTCATTATTTCAATATAAAAATGTGTTTGACTATAAAGTACTGGACTATTTTACTGCTTAAAACACAAATAACTACCTATATATACCGATATAAATTTTTGGTCATACCGCCCAGCACTATTGTTGCGCCCTCAATAGGGCTTAAAGCATCATGGCAGAGCATTGAAGTCGACTAGTCGATTAGTCAGTGCAATCCCTAACTTGTGCATTAAATTACAAAAAAATGACATATCAGCTTGCGCCTTATATTATGATTTCAAATAGCAGAATATTTTAGTACATGCAATTGAGAGACTGTCAGTCCTGTGTCTTGTGTTTTCCTCCCCCACGTGCTCCATGTCCTAGTTTCTCCCATGTTTCATTGTGTTCCTTGATTTCAGGTGTTCCCTCATTAGTTCCAGGTGTGTCTCGTCATTCCCATAATTAGTCCCATAATTTAAGACCTTTGTGTTTCCATGTCTAGCGTCCGGTATTGTTCGTCTACCCAGTACTACATGTGTGTTCCCCGAGGTTTGGCTAAATAAATACTGTTATTTATATTCTCCTTCGTCTCCGCGCTCCTTCGTCTCCTACACAGCAGCAGTTAGCGTGACAGAATACCAGACCAGCAAAAAGGGAGCAGCACCTCTTCTCCCTGTGTTTTTTTTCCCGTTTTTGAAAGTGTTTTTGTTTTCCGAGGTCAGGCCTCCTGCACTGTCTGCTCCGCCATTGGCCTCCTGAGTTCCCTACTCCGCCATGGCCTCCCCTCCTGCACTGTCTGCTCCGCCATGGCCTACTGAGTTCCCTACTCCTCCATGGCCCCCTGAGTTTCCTGCTCTGCCATGGCCTCCTGAACTGTCTGCTCCGCCATGGCCTCCTGAACTGTCTGCTCCGCCATGGCCCCCTGAGTTCCCTGCTCCGCCATGGCTTCCTAGTCTGCCTTCTCCGCCATGGCGCCCTGAACTGCCTGATCCGCCAGGGGTCCTGGAACGGGTACCACTCTGGAGGCCTGCCATCCAGTGTAAGCCAGTCCTGAGGGGCCTCCAGAGCGCCCCCCCCTGTTGTTGTGTGGCACGTGGATGCGCCTTCGGGGAGGGGGGAGTAATGCCAGTCCTGTGTCTTGTGTTTTCCTCCCCCACGTGCTCCATGTCCTAGTTTCTCCCATGTCTCATTGTGTTCCTTGACTTAACTGATGACAAAACTACAACGTTGTATGCTCATAGTTTCTTGTACGCTTTATTTATTATGAAGTGATATAGAGCGTGTGCTGCATATTCGCGTACAGTTGAAGAGTGTGTGCTGTGAGCACAGTAAAACGGTTGACAGGACAGGAAAGTTTGTTTTTCTAAGTTTTACTGACATATAGCCTAACAACATCTCATCAGACCTTAGTTCACTGGTGTTCTACTAAAGCTCATTTAACACCTGTACCTTTTCCGCGCTCTTTTGATTGCGCTTGGCAGTGAGGCAAAGTATGAATAGTCTGAAAAGTCTCCTGTTTGTTAGGGTCGTAAAGAGATACAGCGGTTCCGCATCTTAATAAATGCATTTCTTGTCAAGAAAAAATAGACAAAAACTGCAGTTGTGAGTGGGGTGGCCAAGCTTAGGTAAACTCTTTACAAATTGATAATAATAAGAAATGTTTCTTGATCACCAAATCAGCATATTAGAATGATTTCTGAAGGATCGTGTGACTCTGAAGACTAGAGTAATGGCTGCTGAAAATTCAGCTTTGCCATCACAGAAATAAATTGCATATTAAAATATATTAAAATAGAAAATACTTTTTAAAAATGTTAATAATATTTCTGTTTTTACTGTATTGCAATGAAATAAATAAATGTAGCCTTGGTAAGCATGAGAGAATTCTTTCAAAAATATCTTACCAATCCCAATCTTTTGAACTGTAGTGTATTGGGGATAAATGAGCCCCATTCATTTATGGAATACAACTGAATTGTTTGTAACTGAGTAATTTGCTTTTTCTCTCTTTTGCAGGGGAGCCACATCAGTGGTGTTCCGATGCCGTCAGAAAGGCACCCAGAAGCACTATGCTGCGAAAATGCTGAAAAAAACTGTAAGTGCACTGACACATTTTTCTCCACGTTACCAGGCTTTGTTCTCTTGCCTTTGTTCTGCCTCGTATAGCCAAGGAGTTTCTGGTCAGGACTTCCTTCCAGCTGCTAAGATCTTAAAGACCTCACTGTTGTTGCCTTCCATTTCTCACTCTGATGCATAATAATTAACATACGTTAATAGATAACGTAATAATTGCTGTCAGCCAGAGCTGTTTTCCGAGCAGTACATACATTTCTATTTACACCATCATTTGTGCTTTTTGTGCCTGTGTAGGGAATACTAAGGCTATCTTAAACCTCTCTAATGCATTTGTAATTCTGTTACTTCTGTGCTATAATATATAGTGCATTACATTGTTACACATGTTGTGTACATTGTGCAAAGTTACTGCAAAAACTACTAAAGGTGGCTGATAGAGAAAAACTAGAATGAGAATAACAATAACAACATGAACAAAGTTTTATTTAAAATTTTTTTATGAACAGCAAGCAACAACATATATATATATATATATTATATATATTATATATATATAACAAGCACTTGTGCTGCTTTTACAAATTTCTTTAGCTCTGTGGTAGTACCTCAGGTGTTTTTTAACTAATAATATATAAAATGGTACCCCTGTGAAAAATAAGTTATTATTATTATTATTATTATATTTTACACAAAACTTTAATTTAGCTTTTTAATTTCCTCACCCTCAAATCGTTCGAAGTTTTCCACGACATTCTAATTTATTGAGATGCACCTGTATATGAAAGTCATTTTGCAGAATGGCCATTAAATGTTCTTGAGGAAAAGTGCTTGGTTTACTTTATTATTTTTTTTAGGTTTTTCCTTCTGCAGTGAGTTGATGTTGCTATTACACTTTACTTGATTGTAATGGCTTTATAATTGTGCACCTTGTTCACTTTGTACTCAGACAATAACTTTGCTGTTCTTGCAGGTTGACAAGAAGATTGTACGAACAGAGATAGGTGTATTACTGCGCCTCTCTCATCCAAATATAGTAAGTCTAAAGGGGCAGTTACATTTTCACAGCCTAAAATATGCATAAATCTACAAGAACACTCGCTTAGATGTTCATCCTGTCTCTGCAGTACTGTCTGTGTTTGATTTAGCAAGCTCTAGTTATGCAAATGTTAGTCAGACATTATAGCTACCGTAGTCTACATTAATAATAAATCATGTATTGTTTTTGAATTCCTCCAGTGAAATGCCCTCTCTTTTTTTCATGCTGTTTTCTGTCAGATCAAACTGAAGGAGATCTTTGAGACCCCTGCGGAGATTAGTCTCGTGTTAGAACTTGTTACCGGTGGAGAATTATTTGACAGGTCAGTTCACCATGGGGGTAAAGTGCTACATGCAAATAATGACTGATTAAGTTGTGAACTCCATGCTGTGCATTGACACTTTCCCCCAGAACTGTAATTAAGGGTGTTTGCTAAGGCAACAATCACTATTTCTATTGCTCATACTTACAGTTAGAGTTTTTCATGAGCCCTAACTTGTTTGTGCTACAGATATGACACATTGATGAGGAAAGCAAGTAGACTTTTCGACATTTAATGGATGATAAAATGGGTGATGGAGAATCTCATGAAAACATTTTGATGCCATTCAGAATTAATGGAGTATATCATGCCACATTTAATCAGAAAATGTATTGAAAAAAAAGTAATAATAATAATAAAAATATATATAATATACATGCTAAGGCTGGAAAATAATGAAGTGAAAATTGGATAAAGAGTCAGATACTCAATATGGAGTTACACTGGAGACCAAATGGTGCCTTCCATTTTCCAGGGTGGTGGAGAAGGGCTACTACAGCGAACGAGACGCCGCTGATGCAGTTAAACAAGTGCTGGAGGCGGTCGCGGTGAGTGTCTCACACTTTACGTCTGAAAACTGTTTTCTTCTTCTGCTCTTTCTTTTGCTTTTCCTGAACTAGCAGTGAAATCGTGAAAACTAAAAGTATTAAAAGATTTTTGTTAATTAAAATAAATTAAGTAAACATAAAGAGTGATATGGAAAGAGTGATAAGCAAAAGTGACATAACAATATGACAAATTTAATTGAAATTAAAATATAAACATAAAAGCTAATTCTAAATATTAAAAAAATAATGCATAGATGTTGGTATAAAAATTGTCTTTGATCTTTCAAGCTGTTTCATGGCACTCAGCGGGTGTTGCATGCATCAGTCCAAAAGCACTTAATTAAAATGTGCCCATCCATAAAAAAAAGTTTCTCACATGGCTCCGGGAGGTGAACAAAGGCCTTCTGTAGCAAATCGATGCATTTTTGTAAAAAAAATATCCATATTCAAAACGTGATAATCACTTTTATCTAGCTTGCACTCACTGTTGTAAACGGAAGCAGCTCGGGGGGGATGACGTATGAGGACGGCTTTGCGCATGCGCCGCTCAGAAGTGACGCACGTGGAAATGCAGCGGAGAGATCAAAACAAAACAACGGTCAAGAATTAGAAGTACAAAACGAGGATTTGTAAAGAAGAATGTCAGAGGATTTAGATATAAGCCAAGAGGAGACTGGTTTTCCTTTGCTAAAGTTAGGAAACTTTTGCTCCTGTAAACAAACGTTGGTTTTCACGAGACTCACCGGCGCATGCGCAACGCTGACCTCATACGTCATGCTCCCGGAACTGCTTCTGTGTACAACTGCTGGCGCAAGCTACATTAAAGTGATTATTACATTTTGAATATGGATATTTTTCTTACAAAAACGCATCGATTCGCTACAGAAGGCCTTTGTTCACCCCCCGGAGCCGTGTGAGACACTTTTTTTTATGGATGGGCGATTTTTATTTAAGTTCTTTTGGACTGAAGCAATGCAACACCCGCTGAGTGGCATTAAACAGATTGAAAGATCAAAGACAACTTTTAATATAACTCCGACTGGATTCGTCTGAAAGAAGAAAGTCATATACACCTAGGATGCCTTGGGGGTGAGTAAAATGCAGCCTAATTTTCATTTTTGGGTGAACTAACCCTTTAACCCCAGGTTATTGTTGTTCTAAACCCCGCTTTAAACCCTAGGTAAAGATATGTTTCACACTTGTAATGTAGAAGCGAAGTTAGCACCACTTTTTACCAGGGTTATGAAATGAAACCCTGCTCTGAAGCAGGGTTAGCACCGCTTTTGCCGAACTTGTACAGTGTGAAATGATGTGGCGTTAACATGTTACAGTTCTTATCAACAGACACCCAGTCCTCGTATTCAGTGTTACAGAAACACTGCGTGTTGTATAAGCAGCCATTTCAGTGTTTGAGAGGAAAAATGTCAAATGGTGACAGAAAACACATGAATTAGAGTGAAGATTCTTACCTTTATATTCCACTGAAAAGTCCATTCTGGAAAACTGAATAGTAGGTACTGTTGGCAATATATTTTATGAGGATTGACAATGTAAACACATCACATACTGTATTCATCTAATCAATGACACTGACTCTGCAAATATGCAAATTGGAATGTTAACCCAGGGTTTTGGAACAGTGTACAGGGTGAAACATCAGTTTATGAATAACCAAGATTTATAGTTAACCCCGGGTAAATTATGAGAAGTGTGAACCATGAAGCATGATAACCTAGGATTCAATTTACCTGACATATAGAAAAACCAAGGGTTAACTATTTGAAGTGTGAATAGACCTTAGTCATTTCTAGAGACTATAAATCATGAAGACTTGGGAGTGAGTTCTTTTGACTTGGGCCATTATTAGAATATTGAAATACCCTTAGCAACCACTCAGAAAACCCTAACAACCAGTGATACTGTATATCTCATGCAAATGTATCTTAGGCTTTAATATTTACGCTTACAATATATACATTAGTTCATCAGTGAAACAATCATTAAATGGAAAGAGAATCCTGTTTCCAGTATGAAGTCATCATAAATGGATCTAGATTGGTTATGAAGACCACAGGAGACCATTTATTGTTTTTTCTTCTTGAATGGGCAAGCAATTCTACTATATTTCTCCCTTTCTCTCTCTCCCTCCCTCCCTAACCTTCCTTGTGAGGCTTATTTTTATCATTTACTATACAGTGGGTACGGAAAGTATTCAGACCCCCTTAAAATTTTCACTCTTAACAATCTGTGTTTTTCTGTCAATATGGGGTGCTGTGTGTACATTAATGAGGAAAAAAATTAACTTAAATGATTTTAGCAAATGGCTGCAATATAACAAAGAGTGAAAAATTTAAGGGGGTCTGAATACTTTCCGTACCCACTGTATATCTTGTGCATGCAGTTTCTGTTTATATCCATCATGTATCCATGTGCTTTAGTGATATAGGTGCCTGAATTCGAAAGTAGGCCTGTTCTTCATCTGTGTGAATGTATTTTAAAAGCATTTTTGTTTAAAGTGTGTTCTCCACCACTGGCTCTCACTTTATCAAAGATGGCGGTTGCCAAGGAGATAGTAAGAAAGTGGGCAAATTTCTCATGGGCTGGATTCAGTTGGTGGGCTGCAATAAGAGAACGCCAACTCTCCAGCTCCCACCGGGGCATAAAATAGAGCAGAGGAATGGAAAAGTGAACGCTGTGAGTTCCTTTTGAAGTGACCCGCCTTTTCAGGGAGCGTTTTTTTAACGTGTTATCATGTGAAGAGTTTCACAGTTTCCCTCACAACAGCAGAATCTGTGTGTCTGTCACATCAAAGCCAGCTGGTTGTGTGGCATGCCTCTGGATCTGTGTTTTGTAGATTTCTGCCAGTCTGATTGGCTGGGGCGTCCTCAGTGGCTTGGGACTTTGCAATATCTTTGCCGTTTTCCTTTTGAAGTCTGGAGCTCTCGAAGGTGATGTATTTTTTGAGAAATCTGATTTATCTATTGAGAAATTTGAGAATCTTTCTTGCAGAGAAGGTTTGAAACTAGTTGATGCCACCAAGTTGATTCTACCTTGTCATGGCAGCATATAACATATTACTGTTTGAAATGGTTTTTGTGGAATATTGCACACTGTTTCACTTACTACTTAAAGTTACGGTAGGCAGGACACACTTCATACTATAGAAGTCCTTTTCTGCCACATACAGTATTAAAAAATAAAAAGGTCAGAGTTTACTTTTGACTGAACATTTCACAATTCAGACTTTTTTTCCCTCAGAATTGCAAGTTTATAACACAATTCTGAGTTTATATCTCACAAATTTAAGTTAACATCTTGCTATTCAGACTTTTTTCTCGGAATTGTTTATATTTGCAATTCCAGCTTTTTTCCCCTCAAAATTGTGAGTTTATAATAACGTTTTTAATCTCAGACATTTTTTCTGTTACAATACATTTTTTTTTATTTTTTTAATCTCAGTTACAACTTAAATATCTCACATTTTTAAGTTAAACTCAGAATTCTGAGAAAAAAATCTGGATTGCAATATGTAAACTCAGTATTCTGGAAAATAATGGTCTGAACTGCGAGAGATAGACTGTGGAAATTCTGTGGATAAAATGTCATAACTGCAAAATTGTAACTCAAAATTGTGAGATATAAACTCGGAATTGCAAGAAATTAAGAAATTAATTTGCAAATAAACCAGGGTTTTGACAAAACATTTTTTCATCTACATTATTAATCAGGATATTAAGATAATTTCATAATAAACAATGTTATAATTGTAAAACTGATTTGTAGATGGCAAGGAAAGACAACTAAAACTTTGAAATGACTAGTTAACTAAAGAAAACCCTAGACTAGTTAACTTTAGAAAACCTTAACCCCCATACAATATCTTTTAACTGTCACATGACCCTCTGCCATACATAGTTATCTAAATGTAAAAATAATAATAGCCTGATAAAACATCAAAAGTTTTTTAAGTTTATTTAATTATCTGTCTAGAAATACTGAGATTGAATTATTGCATAAAGTAAAGATAGAATTTGCAAGAGGAAAAAAATACTCAAGAAATATAAAAGCAGATATTCAAAACATATTCAATAATACTATACCAATGAATAATTAAAGATATACATATGCACACATATACATCCATCCATGCATACACAAAATATACATCCTATACACCCTAAACATCCACATTATATTCATTAAAGGGGTCATATTACGTTGCTAAAAAGAACATTATTTTGTGTATTTGGTGTAATGAAATGTGTTTATGCGGTTTAAGGTTAAAAAAACACATTATTTTCCATATAATGTACATTATTGTTTCTCCTCTATGCCCCGCCTTTCTGAAACGCGTCGATTTTTACAAAGCTCATCGGTCTGAAAAAGCGAGGTATGCTGTGATTGGCCAGCTATCCAGTGCATTGTGATTGGCCGAATACCTCAAGCGTGTGACCGAAATGTTACGCCCCTTAACATACTGTGATGACGTTAATACACAAGTCCTGCTACAAGACTCTGCTCGTGCACATCCCATCATCGGTTCTTTTTTAGCAGTTCAGTCAATGTACCGTTAGGAGTAACTGAATAACTCAGGATATTGGTTTATTTTCACGTCAGAGGGAGTGTCAGGCACGTTTCTAAACCGAATAACTTAAGTAATTTGTGGATTAGTGCGTACTGGAGACGCGAACGATTCAAAACGTAGACATGTGGGGGCGTGTTAGAACGAGCCATTTTAGGTAGGTGTGGTTGATGCTTAACTTTATAAAGAATATCTCTTTGGATTTGAGACTTTAGTTTTTGCAAATTTACAGATTTTCAAGCACCAAGAGCTTGTAACACTTCAAAGGGAAAGGAAAAATTGAAATCGCATCATATGACCACTTTAAACAATCTAATACCAAAAGGAATAGCAGAACTAGCATAAAGTTTTGTCCTTGCTTTGAATAATGTCAAATTACTTTTCTTCCTAAAGAAGCCGACCAGTTTTTTCACCCCTG